CCTCCCATGTGGAGTAGATGTAAAAATAAATCCCCATCCAATGAAAGCTTGGTTAAGCACTAAACCAATGTTCCCTAGTCAAAGTGTGTTCCTTAAAAAATTAGGCACTTTCCACTTGAGCAAAGTTAGAAAATCTTTTGATTTTGTCTTAGAAAACCTATTCTTCACAGTGAACCCCTAGCGTTTGAGATAACAAACTTGAGTTGTAAGTCACCAAGCAATTTGTGGGCTATCTTAAAGAAATAAGACTATGTTTATTTAGGCCTTGAACTATACCACTATTTCACTCTGGCACCAAACTAGTTTTTTGTTGAAACTATTTTTTGGTGGTTCAAAACTTCAAATGTGTTGGGTAGTTTTTGAAGAGTTCGTCACGTGATTGGAGACTCCATTGATCGTTTTATGTTAGATTCGATCTAATACTCATAAATAATGGTTTATATCTAATTCCGAGATCAAAGTCGAGTCTAAGCATCAATTATATGTGAAGAAAGTTGAAACACCTCCACAACATCGAAATATTACAATACTATAATTGTGGTTAACAATCTCACTTATCATTACTATCATTAGCCCCCATCATAGTTACTGTATAGTTCCCTGCCTTTTAAAAGAATTATCAAATAGTCAAACAACATAAAATGGCTTTGTATCATCGTTAAGGATATTTACGCATGGGATTTAAAGGACAGGTTGAAGTTCTCAACCTCATCCCTCTTCCAGGGTTTTATTTAACCCAATTGTTAACTAAGCTAAGCATGTGCATAATTGATAGATGAACCTTTGATTTCCCGAGATTTAAGCTTCCTTCTATCTCTTAAGCTGTCAATCTCTAAACCTCTCAATCACTAAAATTTAACAATCCACGAGATTACAATCAACATCAAAATATGTGAGAAAAATATTCATTTTTTTGGGTAAAGAATAGATACTATCAAAGGCCTCGTTAAAAAAACCCCTAAATCTAATCGAAAAAAATAATTTTAATAGTATAACAAAACAAAGTACGAAAAAGCCTTAACAAAAATAGTACATTAAAAGAAACATATCAGGACAAAATGCAGAAACAACCAAGAATTAGTAAGGACTAAAAAATGGTTGTCCCTTTTTCCCATATGTATGGAGTAAGGGGGAAGTAAGATAGTAGGTTGCCCCCAACACCAAATTGAGAACAGCTTCCGTAAGAAACCTCCGAATTATGAAATACCCTCCATGAGACTCGATCTCACGACCTCAAGGTTAAGAAAAACATAAAGTTTATTAACCTTGATGAGGATAGTCCAAAACGTAAGAGATTTGGGACAAAAATGAAACCCATGCGTAGTAAGGCACACTTGCTTTAGGGAGATTACGCATAAGAGATGGTGGAATGTAAGCAGCAAGTTTGCCCATGCTCGGCACCTAATCATCCATCCAAAAATCCAACATCTCTTCCATTACCGACCAACAAATGTTATTTCGGACATCATTCCATACAACTCTCAAACTTTTCTAAAATCTCGAGCATCTTCCAGTACAATTGAGTAAGAATATGGTCCACGCATTTATATATCGCACGAATAAATCGAACCCATAAAATATTACGTGAAGCAATTAAATTGAAAGTAAGTATCATAAGAAACACTTCATTTTGAGAGATTATTTTACGGAATCCCAAGCCACCCTGAGAAATAGGAAGACCAACCATATCCCAACGGACAAGTTGTGTGCCTTTATTATTGATGAACGCTTTTTTTATTGATTAATAATGAAAGAAAAATTAAATATATTAATTAAAATGTAGCTGAAGACAATCAAAATATAAAAATCTTTCGAACAGAATTGGAAGGTTAAAGGTGAGATTTTAAAATTATAGTAATTTTCTTATTAAAAAAAATTCAAAAGCCAAAATCATCATTAGGAAAAAGGGGAAAAAAAGTGAAGTAAAAACCCAATCCTCCCGGACGACACTTCAACTCCCCTTAGCCATTCAGCCATACCTTATATATATATGAATGTTTTCCTTCGAAAAAAATAAAAAGTTCCCATTAAATGATCTCAATAATAAAATAAGATGGGGTTCTTTTTAAATATCATAAATTCGAATAAAAATTATAAATATATATTATTTTATAATCATCTTAGATTTTAATAGCCAAAACAAACAAAATCTAAGATTTGCTCTACACCTCAATTGCTAAAAGAGGGACCCAGCCTTAACAAAAATAAGCAGCCAACACAAAATCAAATCAAACCCCACATTTGTGTTTACAAGCCTGGCCCATTTCAATCCCACCACCCTTATCTGCTCTGTTGCCACCTCACCCTTATCTGGTCTTGGATTGCACATCGTTCTTTTTCACTGGTGGCGGTTGGTTGGATATTACAAGTGAATTCATACATGGGAATTTCTAGTTTTGCTGAGGAATAAGTTAAAGATTAACAGTTAAATAGATAAATTATACAAGCTAGTCAATCATATACTGTTGTCCGTAAACCCGGGGACCAGAATTTTATAATATATTATATTTTTTAAAATGATTTTTATTAGTTATAGGCCATAATTATTTTTAGGGTAAAGTATATAAAAAATCTTCAAACTTTTAAAACACTTGCATTTTGCTCACCCAATTTTTGAAAATTGTAATACATTTATCAAACTTTTAGCTCGTTTTTGGTAAAGTATCTACGTTACCTTCCGTTATTTTATATTGATGTGACACTTAACTACCGACATCACCATCGTCACTGGCGTTAATTCCTCAAAACAACCTTCATTTAGTCCATCCAACATCGACTGAAACTCCCTACAGTAAACATTGTTGTTTCTGGGACTATCTTCATCTGTACCAAAATCAAAACATAATCAACGATTATGACACTAATGAACATCAAAGATTGTTGTTTTGTAATAATTTTTTGTTCTATTAGACCTGACGTTGGGCAAATAGCCATCAAAGCACCCAAAGAATCTCAGCTTTCAGATCTCTTCATGGTATATGATGAACTTGACGATGAACTTCGATAAACTCCATTACGGACATGAATCCAATACCTTTTGAATGTTGTGATTATTGATTGTACCACTGCAGATGAATTTTACATGTTTTCCATCAGATGAGCTTACAGATGGTGGAATAAGCACGATTATAAGACCTATAAAAATGGTGAAAGAAACCAGCTTTCCTGCAAGAACTTGCATATGTTCTGTAACTAGAGAAGGATATAAACATAGCCGAGCTGAAACGCTCTTGAAAACTAAAAAAATTACAGTTTATGAGAGAATTGTAAGGTGGAGTTAAAGCAGCATAAGAAGTGTTGTCAATGGTGTTATAATGAGGCGACAGGCTCATGAGCTACAGCAGTTGGACCAGGGACATTCATAATTCATTCGAAGTTTCATTTATAATCATCGAATAGTTACATCTCTAGATTAAACTTTTAACAGTCTCACGTGATTTATTAGAATCAAACATATTCCAACAATTATAATCATCTTATTTAAGTCGGTCTATATATAACAATTGCCATCGTAGATCCGACATCAATAGTCTTATAGTTGGAGTATTTATATCACCATGAAAGGTCAAAAGGGAGGTTCTCTTCACTTTCTTCTTCTTTTTCACTATCATCTTCTCTCTTATGGTTTTATTTCTTTCATAGAAAAGCACCAATCAACAATCGCTACTTTATTAATCGTGATTTTTCATCAAGACCGAAAAAAGTGAACGAGAACTTGGACAAACCCAAATTATTCTCATTAACAATACTAATACATTTTGTTGTTATTCACATGGATGAAGTTAGGGTGCTTATATCAGTCTACTTTATGCCCTGCAATATACAACACTAGCGAAACTTGTTGCAAAGGAAATCAACAATCATGGATGCCTAGCCAGTAATTGCCTCACCTTGTACAAGGTGAAATTCCTGGGCAGTGGCGGCGTATGCTTTGGGCGCTTTCTCAGCCGTATCAAAATTCCTTTGCCAAACGCAGATCTTCTTCCTCCCATGGGGAAATTTAGGGAAGAATAAGACTAATCCCTGTTCTGGGTTTGTAAAATTAGAATATTGAGGAAGAATAGGACTAACCCCCTAGACATCAGAAATCCCAAAAACCAAAATTTTCAAATAAACCATAGAATAATGAATAGCCTACAAAAAAAAGAGTTAAAACATTTGTTTTTTCAAACAATAGCACTTACCATATCTCACACTTGTATCTATTCAATAGCGATGATTCTTGCTACCCATTTTGGTCTGAAAGACCAAGAGAACACGAACGTAGAAAGCACTGTAATGAAGGGAAAAAAATTAGTGTTTACCTTAAATCTCTCAAACCTTTATCAGAATGTTTCTCAAGCTCTAATCGTCTTTTGGTTTATCCTAAACCTAATAGATGAGTTCAATCATCAGAAAAAAGGTTAGTGTTTACCCTCATTTTTTCTACTGGGTTTGTGTTTTTTCCCCCAATAAACCATTATTTTTTTAATTAATGTTTTTTCACATTTCTGAGTAGGCTTAAATAATATATATAAAAACTTCAAGTATATCTCACCGTTACTAGATAATAACCATGTCAGATGTGCCGTTAATTTTTTAACGGCATGTGGTTTGATTGAATGTATTTAAATAATTGGGTGACCCGATTGATAAAAATTCAGAAATGATTATCAAAATGAAAAGGGACCTTAATTAAGTGGCCTTCGGTATAGTTTACCCTAACAAAAATAAAGTACATGATTTCCATCCATGCATGTTGAGATAAAATTCCTCTTGATGTCAAATTATCTGCTCATATGTATTTGTTATGGGTGTACATTATCAATTGAGAATGTTAAATTAAAAATAATATGAAATAAGTGTTAAATTAAAAAATTATTTTAAAATGGGTATATTTGAGGAAGAAATAAATCCGAGAATGAAATTTATTTACAATTTGGCATTAAAAATCCAAAAGACATGCTACCCTATATATCCTATAAATCTAATTTATCAAAATCAACCAATGGCAAGCATCTTCTCTCTCACTCTCATAATGAGCCCCCGCTTTACCTTCTCTCTCTTCATTGCCCTATGGTTTCTCTCCGCCCACCCAACCACCGCCAAAGACTACCTCAAGCTTCCCTTACTCCACAAAACCCCATCTCCTTCCCCCACCCAAACCCTCCTCTCCGACATTCACCGCCTCCACCACCACCATAAAACCCGAAAGAGCTCCGTCAAGTCACCCGTAGTCTCCGGAGCTCCGTCTGGCTCCGGCCAGTACTTCGTGGAGCTTCGCTTAGGCTCCCCACCCCAACCCCTCCTCCTCGTCGCCGACACCGGGAGTGACCTCCTCTGGTTAACGTGCTCCGCCTGCCGCCACAACTGCTCCTTCTTCCATTCTCCGGGCTCCACATTCTTGGCCCGCCACTCTTCTTCTTTCTCCCCCTACCATTGCTTCGACTCCGAATGTCGACTCGTCCCCCATCCCGACCCCAACCTCTGCAACCGTTCCCGGCTCCACAGCCCTTGTCGTTACCAATATTCTTACTCCGATGGCTCCACGACCAGCGGCTTCTTCTCTAAGGACACGATCACCTTAAACACTAGCTCCGGTAGGGAAGCCAGGCTTGAGCAGCTCTCTTTTGGGTGCGGGTTCCAGATCTCCGGTCCAAGCGTCTCCGGCGCCAGCTTCAACGGGGCTCATGGAGTGATAGGATTAGGCCGTGGCGCTATTTCCTTCGCTTCTCAACTTGGCCGGCGTTTCGGCGATAAGTTCTCTTATTGCCTCATGGACATCACCTTATCTCCACCTCCGACGAGCTATCTCATCATCGGCGACGAAAAAAACACCGTTTCAAGTAACCCCAAAATGAGCTTCACTCCATTACTCATCAACCCATTGTCTCCCACATTTTACTACATTGAGATCAAAAGCGTGAAAATCAACAACGCCAAACTGCGGATCGATCCTTCCGTTTGGTCCCTCGACGAGGTCGGAAACGGCGGCACCATCGTGGACTCGGGAACCACTTTAACATTTGTACCCGAAGCAGCCTATGTTAAGATATTAGCAGCGATTAAACGAAGAGTGAAGCTACCGAGTCCGAGAGAGGCAACACCGGGTTTCGACTTGTGTTTCAATGTAACAGGTGAGGCAAGGCCGAAGCTGCCGAGGCTGAGTTTGGAACTGAGTGGAGGGTCCGTGTTAAAGCCGCCGCCGAGGAATTATTTCATCGACACGGAGGAAGGGATCAAGTGCTTGGCGGTGCAGCCGGTTGGCAAAGAAATGGGGTTTTCGGTAATAGGGAATCTGATGCAACAAGGGTTTTTGTTTGAGTTCGACAGGGACAAGTCGCGCCTCGGGTTTTCGCGTCATGGTTGCACCTTTGCTTAAAACTCCTCACTGAGTCAACTCGTTTTGTTTGCTTATTTTATATATAAAAAAATTATTTGTGATGAACAATATTTTTTCGGATAGACAGTAAAGTATTTTAGTAACATTTTTTTGTTTGGGTAACAGACAGCTGAGTATTTTAGTTTCATTGTTCTATTGAAAATTTTAAACCAATTATGCGGTATTTTCGATATATGCCCCGTTCAAATAAAAATATTAACTAATTGAAACGAAAATGTAAAGAGAAGAGAGCTATAGAAAATGACAACCTGGCAGCTGTTTAATTGGTTTCATTCTCGGTTGTTGTCTGTGATCTTTATATCATCTATGCTTATATCACGTGAATATCACGCACACTTTACTTCTAGGGTCACGAATCAAGTAACACCATTCAAGAAATTATATAATATCGAAATTAAAATAAATATATAAATGATTATTTTAAATTTATATTCAAAATAAATTCACCCCGTATTTAGATAATTAATTTAAGTGGATTTACATTTAATTTATATAGATATATAACGTTCAATCAATTATTATAATTTGTAAGTCATACTGAGTAAAATTGGATTCTCCAATTACACTCTTTAACTTTTAGGAGGGATGAAAATTACAAGTGAGTTTTCGATAGAGTTGAATAAAAATATTTTGTATTGGTTAAGTTGAAAAGTCTTATTTTAAGATTCAATTTTTTAATCTTTTTCTAGTAGAGTTGAAATTATAAAGTTCAAGTAAATTTTTGAATATTTGTTTAAATTTAATTATAAAAATATTATAATATGAATTGGTACAACTTAACAACATTATCTAAATATATATATATATATAATTTTATATTATAATTTTATTTAATAAATCAAATGTTACCTAAAATTATAAAATATTTTTATAAATTTATTTCTTTTAAAAAATATATTTTGAATAAAAAAAGGTAAAAGGATACCTAAGGCTACTTTTGAAAAACTCAATGTAACCCTCAAAAATTTTTTTGCACTTAGCGTGGCCCTCGAACTTAGAAAATAATTAAATGTGATATTTTGATCAATGATTTTTATTGTTGACCGTTACAATACTAACATGATATTTCGGAGTTTAGAGTGATGACATGGAGATATACAGTGATGATGTGGGAGTCAACGATGGCTGGTGACGTGACTGATGACGTTATATATGGACTAAATTGTTTTTTTAAGTTCGAGGGTAAAATTATTTTTTAATTCATGGGCTTATTTTATTTTTTAATAAAAAATTTAAATTAAAAAGTAAATATAAAAATACCATAATTATTAGTATTATTTATTAAATAAAAATAATGTACATATTAGTATTATTACTCCAATTATACATGAGGTGTAATTCACTTAAATTAGTATAAATTGAAAGTAATTTTATATATTTTCATAATTTTACATAGATTAATATTTCGATAATTTGATAATCGTATTTTATATTCTATTCACTTAAATTATACATCGATAAACCATAGAGTTTTAGATCATATTGATTCATAGTTTTATATATATGACAAGTATATTTATACTGATATTTGACAATCAAATTATTGAAATATTAATTGTACTTAAAGTTATTGACATATATATTATGTTCTCTTCCGGTAGTTGTGAATTTTTACTATCCTTATTTTCATTGAGATATGAACAACCATTTTAATTGGCTTTTTATTGTAACTTCCATAGAAAATAAAATAGTAAATTAAATTAAATAATAATATTTTAAAATTAAATAAATAAATAAATATAATAATAAATAATACTAATAATTAATGATATTTTTATATTTAACTTTTTAATATTTAATATTTTAAATTTAAAATACTTTTATTTTTTTTAAATCAAATAAGTCCTTGAACGTTTAGAAAAATCAATTTGGCCATCGAACTTGAAAAAACACCAATTTAGTCCTTCTGTCACATCATCAGCCACCGTCGATTGTCACGTTAGTATCGTGGACCGTCACGTTAATATCGTGAGGTGTCACATTAACATTGTAAGGTTCAACGATGGAAACCATTGGTCAAAGGACCGCATTGTGTTATTTTTCTAAGTTCAAGAGACACATTGATTGCAAAAAAAAATCGAGGGCCACAATGAATTTTTCTAAAAGTATAGTGCCTCAAGTATCCTTTTACCATTGATGAGAGTATAAAAAATCAAACGAATGAATGATGGAAAGACTAAATTTACAGAAAGATTATAGTATGATCCAAATTGAATAAACTACAAAATTAAGAGAGAAAATTGTAAGAAATGCATTTATTGTTAAAAACAGGAATTTAAGTTATATACACATTCTACGCAAATTGAAATATATATTTTCTACTTCTACTTCTTGATTATTTACAGTTAAGAGTTGTAAAATCTTTTAAAAAATCCAGCAACAAACATAAAGCTAGAAATCCATAGACGTGTCAAGAAACGATTATCCTCTGCAACTGTGAATAAGAAGAGGAGTAAGGAGAAAAACAGGAATGATGATGATAATTTGAAGGAGCTGAGTTCGAGGGATATTAAGATTGGTGGAAGCCATCTTGTTCCTATTTCATGACAAAGAGAAGAAATGTATATGAATCACATGGGAACAAACAATCAGACTAACGTTTTCTCATTTTAATCATCTTATGAGTGCATCTTCTTGGCCTACTTCACATTTAGAAAATGTATTTAACCAGGCTTCATTGTTTAAGCATTGAAAAGCTTTATTCATGTGTTCTTGATAAATCTCACCACCCTTTGTAATAGATATGTATTTACCAAGTTTAAAAAAGTGATTACAGAATCTTTGAAACAAATATCTTCAACAAGTGCCAAATTGACATACATGGAGGAGGGTAAGACTTTGAACCCCCAAAGAAGTGGATCAGTCAAGGTAGATATGTGACTGTTGACCGTAAGAAGTGAAGAGCGTACGAGACGAAGGAGCATTCCAACATTATGAACGGAGGTGGTGTTTAGAAGAGCTGCGACCGCCTTGTCAAATGCACCCAATGCCAACTCTCATGTGCTAGATTGCTAGCCCATTTTCCTTCCTATTTGTTTCAGAACATCATAGCAGCCACTTCTTTTTTCTTCTTCCAAGGAGTGTTGGGTTTTCAATAAATATCAAAATTAAAAAGCTTTTACATCCCACGTGTCTCAAAATTACATCACTTATATAAATTCTCTTTTACTTTTAATTATCAACTCATAATTTCATTTGGGGATTAATAGAAGCTAACGATTAAAAGATTATAATTGAACAGATAGATAAAGTAAGCAGTCAAAATCATTAACTTTTTAAATCAGTTATCAAAATCGAATCGAACAGACTAAAAATAAGGACAGTATAATTTACTAAATAAAATTAGATGTTTGTGAGGGTAAAGTCGTCATTGCAGATATACTCGATGTACCTATATAAATAACGCTGTCTTGCAAAGAAATCCCAATCTAATTAGGGTTTTCGCAGATGTGTAGATACGGCCGCCATCATCAGAAGGCGCAGCCTTCCTTTTCAATTTTTGTTTCTCTAAGATTATGACTAATGTTTCTGTTCGCACATAGTTCTTCCACGGAATACACTGTTTCAGTGAATGGTCCATAGGATTTTATCTGTGCGTAAAGCAATCTCCCATCCTTTCTGCTTGAGCTTTCTCCCATTTCTTGTCATGGAGATTTGCTCCAATGTAACAGGATTACATTTTCCTTACTGGAAAAACATGTCTTTTTTAAATTTTTTTGGGTTTGGGTAATTATTCAAAGTTTCGATGAAAATTAGGTTTTTTTCTTTCTGAATCTTCGTATTAAAATAAGCTTGCGAAACCAAGAAATCATTGAACAGATAAAAAATGCAGAGCAAAGAAGGAGAAGTTGACTGTTTAAAGTTACATCGATAAGCTTAGATTTTATTTATGAAGTATAAAATCTCATATTTGATATTCCTTGTACGGGCGGCGAACAGAAAAGTGATGATTAGGGTTCTCTATCTGGAAAAAAATTAACTTAAATATCCCACTAGTTGGAAAACCACAAGGCGTGACATTGGACTTTACAGAATTCTCGAATTGGGCTTTAAAGTTTTCGCCGCATCCAAAATGGTTCTAAACTTTTCAATTTGATCACTAATTTTTAAATTTATTCAAGTTAGACCCTTGCAATTATCAGTTTACTAAAATTGAGTCACCAAATTTTGTTTTTTAACAATTAGATCCTAAAAGTGTTACCCATGATGAAGTGTAGAGGAAACGATCATATTTGTGATCTTTACGAATGATTTTAGCTTAAGTGTAAAGAGCATTACGATGCACATCATGTAGTATAAACTCGACAGTGGTTATCTTATCCTTTGTTCTCGCGGTGATAGCTATAAATGTTTTGAATATGACCGTTAAAAACCCAAAATTTGGTGACTCAGTTAGAACCATTAGAAAACGTGAACTCAATGACGAGTTTGTTTTAGCTCCGACCTTCGACGAGTTGTTTCGAATATGACTATGTGCCCAAAGCATGTAAGCACCGAGTCCAAGGATATGTTAGCTTCTATTCTCTTCCTTTTTATCAACAAGAGCTTTAGTTAACTAAGAAAAAAAAAATCAAACCTGCCTTGAGACAATAAAATAAAAGTATCATATTATATTTTGAAAATAATTAATTAATATATTTTCAACATCATTATTAAAATATTATAAGATTATTTTATTAATATTTAATAAATAAATAATATTATTCATCGTTAATAATTTAATAATATTATTTGAATGAAATTAATAAATAATATAAATTTTATTAATAATTTATTGTATATTATTAAAATAAAAATATAATATCTTATATTATTTTAATATTAAAAATATAATATTACATTATTAGAAATATTAATAAATATATTTTAAATATTTAATAATTAGTATTTTGATTAAAATTATATTGAAACATTATATTAATATTAAATATATAAAATAAAATTATTTTGAGAATTTATTTTTTGAAGTACAAAATTTGGAAAATGACTTACGAAAAATTAAACTGTAAGTTATTTTCCAGAAAATGCAAAAAAAAAATTATGTTGACAAGAAAAATGTTTTATATTTACCAATCAATTTGAGTCCAATTATAAAATAAAACTCAAATGAATAAAAAAATTTAATAATTAGTGAATTAATTTTCAAGTTTGAGTCAAGTCCCTCAACTCTACATTATATATAAATATCATATATGAAAAAATATAAAAATTTATATATGTATATTTTATATGGTTATAGAAAATCGTTTAAGTTTGAATCAAATAGTATCGTAACATTATAAATATTTAGAAATTAATTTAAACAGAAACTCAAACAACTAGAATCGAATTATATTTTATAAACTCAACTTGAAATTTTTTAAATAAAATTTGAGTTATAAAATAGATATTGTCAATTTAAATAACTAAATTTTTTTTCTATTCCAGCTCGATTAAATGTTCACCTCTAACTAGATGTATTGAGTACTAATAGACATATCAAACCAAGTGAAATAACAAGGGACCAACTTTTGGATGAAAAGATGCAAACAATGAAAACAAAATTGATAAGATTTTAAAATATTAAAAATTATTTTAAATTAAAATTAAATCAATAATAATTAAGTTTTAAACACTGTAATTATTATTATATTATACTATATCACTATTTTTATTAAATTAATGATTAAATTTAATAATAGATTATCAAAATTAAATTAACGATGCTCTTCCTCTTTCCATCAGTAGGACATATTCTTCTTTGGAGGGCTCTCTCCCGTATTTGGGATGATTTAAAAAAAAACATCATGTTTGTAGGAAATTGACTCACTACTCGGTTTTGGGATGACGAGTGGGTTCCCTCCCTAGGTCCCCTGCACTCCTATGCATTATCTTTTGACCTTGTTTCGGTCGATATAAATGTCTTTGATTTGGTTACATTTACTGGCGATTGGAATATAGATGCTTTGACCTCTATTCTCTCTCAAGTTGCCATCCCAGTATCCTTGCTATAAAGCCCTTCGATCCTATGGGCTCGACCGATCGCTGTGTTTGGAAATAAGGCTTCCGTTTCCTTTTCATTGTTAGCTCTGCTTATAAGACCATGGTCGAACCGCTTTGGAGTCCTGTAGCTTCTATTTGGTCGCAGATTTGACATCTCACGATCTCCCAACGCATTCGTCCTTTTCTCTAGACTACAACGCATAATAGACTCATGACAAACCTCGAATACGTGAGGCGTTCTCTTGGCTACGACCCTGGCTGCCCAAACTGCATAAACAATGATGAATCCATCCTTCAAGCTCTTCGGGACTGTCCTATGATGAAAAGCATTTGGACAAGTATTCTCTCGAACTCCCTTTCAAATGACTTTTTTTGCCTATGATATTAACCGTTGGATTCATCTCAACATTACTTGTCATTTGCTCCATCCTTCCTTGGACGTCCCATGGCATCTTCTCTTCTCGTCTATGACTTGGTAAATTTGAAAAAGTCGCAACTCCCTGATTTTCAATGGTTCTTGCTCTACGATTACAGAGACTGAGGCTCATGGAGTTATCTTGAGCAAACATTTCACTAGCTGCTTGTTCGTGATGCCCTTCCTCCACCTCGTGAGCAATATCCTGTTAAATGGCAACATCCCTCAATTGACTGGCTTTGTCTTAATGTTGATGCATCAGTCTCTCCTATTACTGGTATGACCTCTATAGGTAGCGTCTTTCGTGACGCCAACAGTATGTAGATACATGTTTTTTGCAGGTCTATTGGTATTTCAAATGTTCTTCAAGTCGAATTGTGGGTTTTGTTTGTGAATCTCCAACATATGTGAAACCTTGGCATAGAATTGCTGAAAGTCCAATCTGACTCTGCCACTACGATTAAGCTGGTCACTGATGTAAAAGCTATGCTGAGTCACTTTGCACTCGTTCGAGCCACTACGAATTGTGGGTTTTGTTTGTGAATCTCCAACATATGTGAAACCTTGGCATAGAAATGCTGAAAGTCCAATCTTACTCTGCCACTACGATTAAGCTGGTCACTGATGTAAAAGCTATGTTGAGTCACTTTGCACTCGTTCGAGCCATTCACAAGTTACGCCAGAGATGCTGGATTATTGATTTTATTTGGATTTCTGGAGAGTGCAACAAGGTTGCTGATGAAATTGTAAAGTTGTCCCCGATCGATTCATTCTAAGTTGTGGCATTTGAAGATTCTCCGATGCATCTCCAACTTATTCTCGACTAGGACATTAATGGTCTCCTTAACTTAGACCTGTTTCTGGTTTATTTTTCTGACTTAGATCATCTCTTTTAGTTCAAAAATATATAAATAAAATGTAATATTATATATGAATTTAAATAAGAATAATTAAGTGATAAAAATAAAATATTAAATTAAATGATGATGAAAATAATATTTTTTATTATTATTATGAAGTAAATATAAGATATTATATGTTTAAATATTTTTTTTAATTATTTGACAATAAATATTCATTATCTTTATATTTACGGTTCTCGAACCGAAGATCTAAAAGTACAACAAAAGTCTTTTAACCCTTTAAATCATTTGATTCATGTTAGTATATATATATATATATATATATATATTCTTAAATATGTATATTTTAAAATACATATTTTTTTAAACATTTGAATTGCCGCCACCGATTACAATTTTTTTCATATATTCTTAAAATATGTATTTTTTCCTTGGCACACCCAGGTGGCAATTCAAGTATTCCACATGTTTTCCAGTTAGGCCTAAAGCTGCCAGTCGGTTGAAACTTGAAACGCTTGTGAAACTGGAACACTTTGAAATCTTGCTCCTCCTGATCTATATCTCATCTTCTTTACAGATTCAATAGAAACATATACTTCTCTTCTTTTAAACCGAAAGACATCAATTTTCATATTCTTCACTCTGAACCCATCCGATAACCCTAAAAAAAAAATCTTTTCTCTGCATCTCTCTCATCTGCTATAGAAAATGGGGGTTCCAGGAATCAAATTTCCCATATTTATGGTAATTAGAATATTCGGAATTGTAATAGCAGCTCTTGTTTTCACATGGACGTTTCATTACAGAGGAGGATTGGCTCTCGTCTCCGATAACAAAGACCTCATCTTTAATGTAATCTCTTCCTTCTTTCACCTTTTTTTTGGGGGAAATTATAGAAGCGACGAATTTTCTTATAATTTACTTCCCAGTTAGTTTTGAAATCTTTTATAGAGGGCATTTGTTATAATTTGCATTCTATTATAATAGAACAACATTCCCTTTTACCAATGAGGCATTCGATGAGTTCAGTCCTTTTTATCTTTTTAATCATTTGGGTTTATGCTTTGCTTTATCGTAACAAAGTAAGCTAAAGTGGCACTTAAATAGTCGCTTTGGTAGTTCATCCTATGAAGAGGAGTGTTTTTCTTTCCCATTACAAAAAATTACTTAGTTTTGTATATATTGCAGGTTCATCCTGTTTTAATGGTCCTTGGACTAGTGCTCTTGAATGGAGAAGGTGAATGTCATTTCTCATCGTTTTACTGATATTCTAGATGCTGCAACTTTTAGTCATATACTTATATTTATCTGAGTCTCCTTTAAAGTGCTATATAAGTTCTTGTGAGATAATTATTTCCAATTTATCAGATTAAATTACATCAACTAGACAGGATTAACGAATGAATTTGGAATTGATGCTATACATTGTCTCATTGATGCATGTCTAGAAGTTTGGCATTTTGAAGTGTGCTTACTCTTTGTTGTCACTAATAGTTTCATTGAGGTTTTCTCAGGATTTGATAAGTGAAATTTTATTGCTATTCTGGAAGATCTGCTTAAATTATTTTAAGAGTTTGTGAGTGATTAATATGGTACAATGATGTTAGCAGATGTTTGTCAAACCTAATATATTATTATGATGCATGCATAAGCACAGGTCCTTTTTCTTTAATATTTCTGGTTTCTATTGGCTTCAATTTTATGGTTTTGCAATAAGAATAAACTTTGCTTCTCCTTCCAAGTAGGGAATTGAAATTAAGTTTCATTAAGTTTACCGTAGCGACTGTAGGATGCCATTTAATCTTCCCTTATGGCTTCAATATCTTGTCCTTAAGTTTATTCAGAACTCAATTTCTTAAAGGAAGAGTCATTTAAGCAGTGATCTTTAGAAGGAACGATAAAATACTTTGCTATGTGATAATCTAGCTTCGAGTTGCTGCATCTATTTTTCCTTGATTTGTAAGAAGAACATAAGGGACATTTCTGCTGACTTTTAGAATTCAAATAATAATATGGAGTTTTACTTCCTAGATATTTTACTACAATTCTAGATAACTTGAATCTCAACTGTTGGAATATTTTACTATAAGCCTATACAATGAATTATAGGTGATATAGAACCAATAAGATAACACAATCTCAACATGTTATCGAGCCTCTATGGTAGTTAAAATTTTATCTTAGTTGCCTTCTATGGTAGATAAAAACTGTGTTCTCTTTATTGACAATTTGAGTCAGACATATAAGTATACAACCGACTAGGCTGAATACTAGCTGCACGGTTAAATACTATTGAGGTTCATTTACCCTGTCTCCATGGTTGCATAGGCCAGGGAACGATGAGTCTTAAAGGAAATTTAATTCAAGTATTGCGACTGCAGAATTTTATGGAATTTTGAATGAGGTTACTTTCATGATCCTTTACAATCGTGCTCTTGTCACTTGTTCGGTATGATTAATACAGCCATGTTGGCATACAAGACTGTTCCGGGGACAAAAAGCTTCAGAAAATTAGTTCATCTTACCATACAGTGCATTGCTTTTATCTTGAGTCTTATCGGTGTATGGGCTGCTTTGAAGTTCCACAATGATAAGGGCATCGACAACTTCTACAGTCTTCACTCGTGGTTAGGCCTAGCTTGCCTTTTCTTATTTGGCATCCAGGTCTGTCTTTACATCCTTTTCCGGTGCATTTTCACTCCACTTTTATTGATGCATGCAGGTGCTCAATGATGTTTGTGTTTTGCTTTTAATTTGTTGTGGACAGTGGGCAGCTGGATTCCTGACCTTTTGGTACCCAGGCGGGTCAAGAGACAGCAGGGCTGCCTTGTTGCCATGGCATGTGTTCTTTGGGATGTATGCATATGCCATTGCCATCGTGACTGCTACTATGGGTATCTTAGAAAAGCTTACATTCCTTCAAACTAATCAGGTAATATCACTCTACTCCACCGAGGCTTTGCTTGTAAACTCTTTGGGTATTTTGATTGTTGTTGTGGGCGGTTTCGTTATTCTTGCCACGCTCACTTCGGTGAACGAAAAACATGATGGGCACAGTTACAGGGGACTAGTGGAATAGAGTTTTCCCTGTAAATCTCAATGAGTGATGTAGTTCTTTACCTATGAAACAACCGGAGAATGATTTCGTTGATAAGAGCAGATATTAATACACGTCTATCTGTGGGGGAACATGGAAGTTGAGAGTATCTTTTGAATATGATGTTTACACCATATTTTCCTCTTTTCTTTTTTGAGATAAATCTTGAAATTATATATGAAATTTGAACATATGCGATGAACTAGTTGATTTTTCTATTTGTGTTCATATACGTAAAATTTTATAATGGAATGACAAAAAAAAAGCATAATTAAATAATCATAGGTGCACTTTATACAAAATATGAAAACTATTTGATGATATTTTATATTTCTAATAAATTTTTCAAGTAAATGTATAGTTTATAAATTTCAAGCAAACACTCCCAAACACAATAAAAAGCAGTTTACAAGGGGCAGACGCAGAACGGCTAAATTCATTAAGATAAAAGGGAAGACAAGCAGAAGTTGAGCATGTTAAGTTCACATAAAACTAGGGCAGACCGGTCCCTTGGATAGGCCGAGACGGATTTCCATGCCATGGTGCAAGTCCAATGGCCGTACAGTTTCCGACTCTCGAGGATCTGCAACCAGCAAACCACTCATTTTTAATCAGCTAACCCACACCCTGACGCATCAAGTTACAAGGGAAAAATAACTTATTTTGTATTAATGTATTGTCATACCATTCAGATAATCCTCTAAGCCAAATTCATCTAAGCTTCCTGTCATTGCTTCCAACCCTAGCATTGAAGATGGGAGTAATGGCCTCTGGAACCTGCATAATTTTTCCAAGATATTCAGCACTGAATTCAGAAAATTATTAGAGTTTCAACCCTAGCTTGATTGGTTCTTGGTGTTATCCTAGTTCACTCTAGGCATAGTTAGCCCTTCCTAATCTATGTTCCCAAACATGAAACGCAAATATGTCAAATCTAAAAAACATGGCTCAATAATGCGACATAATCAAAATTTTTATAATTATGCAACCCCTTAATCATGATCATAACATGGAAAAATGAACAATAGTTATCATTTCAACTAGACAGTTTAAAAAAGAGAGATCTTTTAGAATAAAAACCATAATCCATTTCTTAATTGGACTTGACAAGATCTACGCTTCTTCCACAGAACCCTTCTCTTTTTTGTTTGGATTCATTTGTTATGTTGCTGTAATAGTCTCTTCATTGTACCCAAAAAGTACCAAACACCTACATTTTGGATGTGCACGACCCTTGAGTGACGAAACATTAAGAAGAAAACTTGGATACAAGGTACTACTTAAAACTAGAAAAGATAGGGATTCTAAAAGTTATAGGTTAAAATGAAAAATCAAGAGTATCGAGCACTATGAAAAGGAAAGCCACAAAACGACAATGTAGGTTGTCTAAAGATAGGGTAGAAATTCGCTGTGTGTGTGTGTGTGTTAGCTCCCACTGCCCCACTCTTTTACTTAAATGTACTTGCCACATACTTGCATGAAATATTTATATTTTTCACCATGTGCTTAATTTATAAGTATTTTCCACTTGCTTGTCAATTTCACTTCATAGTTTTTCAGGAACAATTCAAGCCCTCTTGGCTTTATTCACCAGCTGACTGGTCTAAATCAGTTCGTTAAGCGTCAACAGCTCAAAATTGGGATTGGAAGGGCAGTACTAGTTCACGAAGATCGAAAATGGAGGTCATACCGCGAGAGAATTTGCCTATCGAGATCCATCTTAAGTGGAAATGCTGTTCCATAAGTATTGACCAGGACTTTCCTCTTCATCTCCTCCTGCCTTTTCTTCGCCTAAAAAAGGGAATAAAAGCGTCCACATAAATAAATAGCATTCAAATCCTAATAGTACCCTCTAAACCTAGTTAAAAATCTTAAAACAAAAACCCATAAAAATAACTGTCTAATTTCACACGAACAATATACAGCTTCTCCTTTTTTTCTTTCTCAGTAATAAAACCCCTAAGCCCACTTCTTAAAAAATGTTGTAAACTAATTACGCTCACGTGCGTTCGAGATATGAGAAGTGAACGCAAAAGGATTTTTTAACCCACAAAGAAAAGAATAATATTGAGTCTAATTTCCGTTTTATGTATTTTCTCGAGAGACAAACAGAGGGAGGGGAAGACTATTACAGATTCATAAGCAGATTGGAGAGGGTGAGATCCGATAAGGTCGCTCTTAACGCCGTGAAGACCGAACCGAAGAGCGTCGTTCTGAACTCCCCCAATTTCGTGCTGAATTGTCTTTGGTGCCTCCATCTTTCTCTCTTTCGCTGCTTTTTTCTTTTTCTTTTTTTCTTTGAGAATTTTATATTGTTAATGTCTTTGTAAGCAAGAAAAGGCTAATAAAGGAAAAGTCACTCTCGGTGCAAACGATGTCGTTTCTTTATTAGTGCAAGCCCAAGTTCTTTTTTCTTGGGTTAAGAAGAAAGGCCTAGGGTGGTTTTGGGTTGAACTTCTTTAAAGCCAACTACTTTGATAACATAACTATATATATATTTTTTTTTTGGCATTTTCTTAAAAATATTTTTAAATATTTTTAATATATATATATATATATATATATGGAAATTTATAATTTATATTAAAACCATAAAATATATTTTAAAATTATATTTTTTTGAAAAATCATACAATTTTGTGATTTCATAGTGGGCCTCCAAATACAGGCTTGAAAATTATCTACGGAGTGCTGGTAAAGAATGTACGTAAGAGTTGTAGTCTTTTGAGTTAATTGCATTATATGTTCTCAAAATATGATTCTCATTTAAAATTATTCCTTAAATTTTTAAAATTTTCAATTTCATCCCTAAATTATGACTTATTCTAAATCAATTATTAAACTTTTGAATATTTCAATTTCATCCCTAGACTATGACTTTCATTCTAAATTGGTATAAAAAATTATCATTCCATTTTCATCCCAAATTACATGTATATACTATTCATATCCATTGTTAATAAAATCATTAGGCCAAGTTATATTATTATATGTTTGAAAAAAAACAAATGTATGTTAAACTATATTTGAAATTAATTTCATATTTGATTAATTTAGGATGAAATTGAATATTCAAAAGTTTTAGGATTAATTTAGAAAGAGGGTCGTAGTTAGGGATAAAATTAGAATGTTTAAAAGTTTAAGGCTTAATTTAAAATGAGAATTATAGTTTAGGGTTGAATTAGAATATTCAAAACTTTAAGGATCGGTTTAAAATGAGGGTTATATTTTGGAGATATATGATACAATTAACTTTTCTAATAGCATGAGATGATTATAAAGTATCAATTGTTCATAATTTTTTTAATTATCGACCGCACACAAACACTCTACATACAACACCCTAAATTGATTTGGCCTAAAACTGATTTCTTTCTTTTACTTTTTCTCAAGTTCCATTTTATCTCGGATTGTTAATGATTGTTACTCTGTTAATGGTAACCATGCATTGATCATGAATGACTGCCATTATAATTCACCAAAAATAATTGTTAACATTCAAAACAAGTTGTTTTAAAAAAAATCCAGATCTTGTATGCTGAAACTCATCAACAAATGGATAAAGATGCGCTTCATACTAACACATACAAATGGCCACTTGAATGTCAGAGTTTGTTCCTGATGAAACCGAAAAGTAGTCTGCAACAATGTCAATTCTTCACCTAAATCATATTTGACTCAAACATAAAGATGGTCAAAGTTGAGTGATGAAAAAGCATATTTGACTCAAATTTTCAAATCTTTCACCTAAATCCTTTTGATGTATCGACGACATTAGTAGTAGTAACTTTTAAATGGAAATAAATGGGAACCAAAGGCTATGAATTAGATAGATACAAGCAAAAGCAACAGCAACAGCCGATGAACATTGACAGTATCGCATTGAAAAACTTGAAAATTTTGGCGGTAACCCATAAACCCTTTCTACTAGTGATGTGTAATTCGTTGGAAAATACCCATTTTGTAACTTTTCATGGGCCTTAACCAGAAATATTATAATAGGGGGACTATTTACATATTTTACCCTATTTTTTATGGAGATAAAATAATTAACCTACCCAACCTTGATTATTTTTTATTGATCTTTATTTCATGTTTTTATCAGTTATGGGGACAACAACTACTTAACCTACTCAACCTTGATTGTTTTGATTGATCTTTATTTCAGATTTTCATCATTTATGGGGACAACAACTACTTAACCTACTCTACCATGATTATTTCGATTGATCTTTATTTCAAAAAAAAAAAATCAATGGGAAAACAATTTTTTGTAGCTATTTTCAAGTTAGATGAACTTGCTGGCTTTATGGCGTGTATGATTTTATTTCAAGGTGTTGTTTTTATTAGTAGTTGCAACATGCAAGAAAGTTAATTCCATAAAAGATGATGTAAGAATTTCATTCTATGCTTTCTCTTATATAATCCATGATCCCATGTAATCCCTTTATTAATACGTTAGGATGTTAGGGGCGGTCGTCTTCTTAAAATTTTAATATTTTATATAATTTATGTATTTTTTGTATTTTTAATAATTTTTTTTTGTTCTTAAAATTTTAAATTCATTCCATAGTATAAAATCATGTGCGTGTTTATTGAAATCTAAGCCTCAAGAGTTTTACTTGCTAGACAATTTTGCATTGATAATCTTGACTACGAAGTTGATTCCGTTGCTGTGATTACTGCTTTAAATTGTTCTATTTCGAAAAATTCGATCCTTGAACCTATTCTACATTTGTGTAGGACGCTGAACAGGCCGTACCTTGAATGGACTATTTAATCATATTTACAGGACTAGAATATAACTAATGGCAATGAAGACCTATCTCTTGATTACGTGCGCTAGAAGCGGATTGGTTCAAAGTTAACGTGGAAGGAGCGAAACATTTGTCGCATTAGAGTGTAAATGAACCGAATATAAATGAATATAATTATATTTACATTAATTTTTTTTAAACGTGTTTATGTTTGTTTAAATTTTTAATATTATATTTATATTTGTTTATTTATTTTTAAAGATTCATTTATTATTGGTGAAATATTTTATATGTTTGTCAATATGTTGGTAAAATTATGCCACTAGTCCTTAAGCTTCTTAAGTTTCACAATTTAAACCTTAAAGTTTACTATGTGTTCAGCTTAGTCCCTAACTTCACTAATATTTAAAAAGTAAGAAAATAAATGAAAATAATAATTGGGTAAATGAGCTTTCAAATGAGCTTGTTTATGAACATAAACAAATCAAATACATCTTTATTCGTTTATTAAATGAATATAAAAATTTTATTTATACCTACTTATTTAAGTTAATAAACAAACAAATAAATGTTATACAAATAATTTTTCGAACACTTTATTCATTTATCCATTTCGCGCGGATGCCAAAAACAGCGAGAGATTAGAATGGCAAATGGTAGGTAGGGTTTACTCGAAACCTTGGCATATGTCCATAACTATGGGCAGCATTAATTCATGCGTGGGAGTTGGGCATCGCATCCGCCGGATGGATGATTTTGGAGATGAATAATAAGGAGGCTGTTACCTGATAGTTAGATCTCAAATGACCTAATTAATCATTCTCACCTTGCAATATTCACTTTATGAATTTACTGTTTTATATTTTTCTTCTTAAATTCCAGATATATATAAATATTTGGAATTCGTCAATAAAAGATGGTAGAGTGGAATTATTCTTGTGGCAGTTTAAATATATATAAAAAAGAAGGAAAAAAAACAATACAATAAATTCATAAACTTTAAAAGGCTTTTATCATATGATCAAATGTGGACAGCCAGCGCTTATAATTGGTCAAAAAGGCCGACATGAGCTGGAATCGCAGACAGAATTTTTAATAATACAGGCAAAGCACTGAGTTTTCATTACTGAAAAGCAAAAACAAAAAGGTGTTGTGATCTTTGATACATCATCAAACCAGGTTTGTAAACTTGATCAAATTGTGGGGCTGAAAGGAAAGATCTGAAAGAGTTATGGCAAGCTATGGAGGGACAACCCAGAAGTGCAAGGCATGTGAGAAAACTGTGTACTGGGTTGATCAACTCACTGTTGACAACAAAGTTTATCATAGAGCTTGTTTCAGGTGCCACCACTGCAAGGGCACCCTTAAGGTATTTCTTCCTCCTCCTCCTTCATAATCTTAGATCATGTCTTGCTTCTGGGGCTTGCCCTTTGCATGGGATTTTCTGTTATCAACTTAGATCCAGAGATTTAAATGCCGATCCACTATTAGAATAACAATAGCTATACAACGGTAACAATATCATTTGAAACCGTTATTGCACAACCCAATAGAATATGTTATATGTATCTGCAATTGTAATTAACGCAACGACAAATTAAATCCCTGCTTAGATATCACTTCATTTTGGTATCACAAAGAGTTCCGTTTTATATGTATATATGGAAAGATGGATCATCAAAAGATGCCTGCAAGTGCAAGCTTGTAAATTATGGCTTGATATAGTTTTCACAGAGTTGAGGAAGCAGAACTTATATCAGTACAACAATAGTAACAGCTGGAACAAATCCCTTTCTCACTTTGTCATATGAGATCTTAAAGTTCCATAATCAAACCTTTCAATTATACATCCCGTTCAATCAAGTACAACTTAATGGAATCCTAAGTTTCTTCCCTTTCTCTTGTCTTTAAGATATTGTAAGTTGTTATTTGAACTAATTGTGTATTACTTGTACCAAAATGACGTAAAATCTTACCTTTCTTGTCATTAGAGTGCCATATAATTATAAATGAGGCAGGATTGATAGTGAGCTACTCGAGTTCGATTCAATCGAAGTTCGATAAAAACTGGACTCGAGTTCTTAACAAACTATTTGATACTTGACTCGAAAAGTTTGCCAACGAAAATAGTATATTAAAATTTTATTTTAAAAAAAAAATTAAATTATTAATAATATCAACACTAATGTGTTGATTTTTTTTTTAAAATACAGTATAAAATTTTCATGTGATTAAGTTTCAGGTTCGAGTTTGAGTTTAAGCTTCATCCGAGTTAAGCTTAAGATTTTGTTTTTTAATTTCAAGCTTTTTTTAGCTTCATTTTGTGGTTTCAAGTTTGAGTCGAACTTGAAAATTTTAGACTCACGAGCTTTTGAGACGAGTCGAGCTCAATGTTACTCGAGTTCCACTCGACTTGCTTACAGCCAGCCCTAGAGTACGAGTTACTTTATCAAATAAAGTGATTAAATGAATGATTGTTATTTCTAAAGATCTCATATTCGAGCAGATGTATGTAAGCGTATTTAAGCGTTCATTATCAAATAGTTGAGAATCTTTCGAATAGATATTACCTCGTAAAAAAAAGTAACGTGGGCAATGCGTTTGACACTAAAGCATATATTCTTTCCACTTATATATATAAATCATCTGTTCATAACGGAAACACTATAACAAAATAAAAGGCAAAAGATGCTACTAAATCGTAAAACCACGTACCAAAGGACGACGTCTGGGGTAGGCAGATGTGTTGGTCCTCTTAAAACAATAAAATTGTATTTTAGCCCCTTTAAAATTATTAAGTTTTAAATTAGTACAACGATTTTATTACATTTGCCCCCTAAAACGATGAATTTATGATTAAATCTTATTAGAAAGTGAAAATTTTTAGGACTACACTACACCATTAGTCGCTGAACTTTGAGTGTTGTCTTATTTTAATCACTGAACTATTTTTTAATTAACACTAAATTTTTTGAATTATTTTTTAGTTATTGGACCGTTACTTTTTAACAATATGATGATGTGACATCTTTTTTCTGTTATTTGTTGATGTGAAAGTCAAAAGATATATTTTATTCGTTTGGTCTTACATGATTTTTTTTCTCCTCTTTTTCTTCTTCATCGAATTTAAGATTTTCTCACATTTTCATCAACTACCAAAAATTGTCATTCTTTGACATTTTTTGTGGTCACCTAAAACACTCGTGAACACATCTCGTCGTTCTCTATCATTTCATGGGTTTAGATTTTCTTAAAAACCTCTTTAAAATTCATTTAATTAAACATAAAAAATCATTATTTTAGGGGTTAGGGGATTTGTCGGATTTGAGGAGTTTGGATAGTCCATCTTATAGTATAAAAAATTAGAAGAATTATTTTAAAAAGATAAACAACATATCTTGAAACTAGTCTTACCTGATGTTGGCATAGATGAGAGCATTAAAAGCTGTAAGTGTGGGATGATTATTTTATTAATTTTGAATAGATTTTGAGGAAAACCAATATGAGGAGAGAAATGCAAACATTTTTATATCACTCTTGTTTCAAACTGCCACAAATGACTTGCTTCAGTAGAATGACGATAACATCCGGTGGAGGTTGGGGTTTTTGTAAGAAAGGAGGAAGATAACGATGTTAAAAATTTAACGGCTCATTGACTAAAAGAAGCAATTCAAATTTTCTAATTCTATAATTTAAAACTTTTTATAGTTTAGTGACCAAAATAAGATATCGCCTAAACCTCAGTGGCTAATGGTGAAGTTTTCCCCCATTTTAAATTAATGTAGTAATTAATTTATATTTTTGACACCTTTAATAAATTTTAATTCAACTTCGACCCCTAGATACTTAAACTTTTGGTAACGATGAATGCCTCTCTTTTTTTCATGGTTGTGGACATGTTCTGCTAATAACCTATGTGATTTTAATTTGTTTGCATACAAATCCAGTGTGTTTGAATATGAAAACTTAATTTTGTGGCCTTGTTAGCCCTAAAAATGGGTGGTGAAAGTGCAAATTAAGGCCTTGGCCTTGTGTATGCTGTGTGCTTACCTTTTCCTACAAATTTGCAGCTAAGCAATTATTGCTCCTTTGAGGGTGTCTTGTATTGCAAGCCACATTTCGACCAATTGTTCAAGAGGACAGGCAGCTTGGATAAAAGTTTTGAAGGTACTTATAACTTCTTTTACCTATATTATTATTTCTACTTTTTCATTCTTTTCCTGAATTGTTGGACACATATATTCTTATCTGATATTCATATCGAGTCGGATAATATAGATTTTTAAACTTATTTTCATTTTGTCTCTGCTACAAAAGCCTAATTGACAGGTTACTTTGTGTACTTTCTCTTTGTCAGGGACTCCAAAAACTGTTAGGGTAGACCGATCAGAGCAGGTACCTCATACTCTTACATTGCACTATTGATTTCCAAGTCGTATAGATTTGTTTAGCTCTTGAATCATGTATGTTGTTTATCTATGCAGGTAGCCAACAGCAGAGTTTCGAAGCTGTTTGCAGGAACTCAAGAAAAGTGCGTGGCTTGCAAGAAAACTGTTTACCCCATTGAAAAGGTATTATCAGTAATTCAACTTCATTAGTTGCATAAAATCCTGCATGTGTTCCTGGTAATCTCTTCTCATTGTGTTGAATATAAATGATTTCAGGTTGCAGTTGATGGCAAATCGTACCACAAGGCTTGTTTCAGGTGCAGCCATGGAGGGTGTGTGATCAGCCCATCCAACTACGTAGCGCATGAACATCGTCCCTACTGCAGGCATCACCACAGTCAACTGTTTAAACAGAAGGGGAACTTCAGCCAATTCGACAAGCATGAGCAGCTCACCCTAGTGGCCACTGACGACAACATTATGGTCTAAATATCCAATTTTTGAATCAAAATAACAATATCATAGAAGAGCTGTTGCTGGGTTTATTTCTCTATAAACAAGATAATGTGATTTGCAAGCAGGGGGAAATGTTCAGCACAAGTGTGTGTGTTTGTTGATAAAAATGATTTTTTTTGTGTGTGAGAGATTTGATACATTGATCATAGGAAAAGTAGTAGCATGTTGCTGTCCTGCATTTATTTGGGCTCATCTTTTTTCTTTTAATAAAGCAGATGCCCTCTCGCTCAGATAATAAAACTCCCACCTATTCTTTCCACACATCGTCTAATATTCCAGCGTATACATATCATACAGTTTCTATCACTAAGATTAATTCTAACATATGACACTTGATACTTACGGCATGCTAAATTTTTAGGATAAATTACACGTTTAATACTTTAAGTATCAATTAAGATAATATCACATCGTCACTAAACTTTTTAAAAAAATATCACATCAATAGTTCTATTGATTTTTTAGCGGTGGATAACCAAAATATAATATTAGATACAATTTAAAAAAAAATAATAAAGTGACCAAAACAGAAGAAATGTGATAGTTAGATATTACACATGTAATTTACCCTTTTTACTATCCCTATAAAGTCTATCATTACCTTCTCAGCACACCATGAACACGAAACCTTCGTCCGACTATCTCTTGAGAATAAGCAATTACCAAAGGAAAATAACAAATCTGGAGTATAATGGTAAGTGATGTTACATTTTGAAAGGGGTAACTACGAACGTCGAACATAAATTACAGATATGCATAGTAGTAGTTTAACTAGAGTTCTAAAAGTTGGCAAGGTTTTTTTTTTAAATAAAATTTTGAAACTTGATTATAATTATTTCATTTATAGTAGGCATGGTAGTAGTTTAACTAGAGTTTAAATGAACAGTGACATAAGCTTTCCTTCATAGGATGCTCACATATATATGGATGAGGGCACAGGGACATTTCCCTATTTTCACTCTGTTGCAGTTTGAGCTTTTTTTTTTTTTTTTGGGGTGGGGGGGGGGGGAGAAAGCAGATCCTTCTTATACGAGGACAGCAGAGAAGAAGCATCTTTTTCCGGTGGCCTTCCAATTGCTTACTTGCCACCCCGTCACCATCCTTGTACGACTCCACCTATCATCCAACCAAAAAAATATATAAAAATGTTAATGAAACCCTCAATACGAAAACGTAACATGAGAAAATATAACTAAAAGACACAAAACACAACATCGGAAAAACCATCCGATAACAAGACAACTGAGTGTCAAGTGCCAAAAAGGTTATTATTGGTACAGTACCAGTGGCGTATCATTTTTGTTCAAAGGTTGGCATGTAATGATATCTATATGTTTTTTGTATCATTACTAACATCCATATACGGAAGATCAGGGAGTAGCTACATACCTTGTCCAGGACTTCCCTATCATCCTCCAACCCCCCAATAACATGTATTTCGTCTCCAATCACGACAGTGCCAAAATGTCCCCTACAATTGTTCATGGAGTCCATCATCATCCACGAACCAGCACGAGGGTCAAACACCTCAACTGTTGACACCATTCTCATTCCATCAAAACTGCCTATTGTGTATCTACAAAAAATATTTCCGCTTTCGCATTTGATACAAAGGTGAGCCATTCTTTATACTGCAATGTTATTTTCTAGGTACAAAAGAAGAAGGGAGCAAGGATGTTCTAAAGAAATCGATTGTTAATCTATATTAATGTGGAAATAAGTTAGATTGTTGATCACATGAACTGTTGGGTGGGTGATCACTACAAACAGAAGGGCACAAACAGGAAATAAACTTACAGCTTTCCATTGAGCACAACCAATGCATGAGATCCTCTCTTTGTGGACATGCTCGGAATTCTTCCCATGAATGTTCTCGAGGATCCAATCTCTCCATTGATCTGAGATGGATGAAACGGTAACTGTCAAAAAGAATTCGGGACCAAATTAGTTTACACCATAAACAAGTCCACAAAAGAAAATCATTAGGACATAAATCAATATAATCATATTAAAGAAGAAAAAGATCCAACGAGCATGAAAATACAAAATCAAGGAAAACACATGGCCATGCAAGAAAACGCCAATCAGTCCATGACTTGTCATTAGGCAAAAAGAAAGAATCATAACCAAATCAATGGTCTCAATCTTCACAGCCTGATCAATACCAATCACAAAAAGGGCCATCACTTCTAAAACAAATTAATGATTTCCGTCATGGTAACCTTTAAAAAAACACTAAATAAAAAAAAATGCTCCATCAGCATAAATCTCAAAATCTCATTTTAGTTGCACTTCCATGTCCCTTTATAATCCACTAACATGAAATGCAAAATAAGCAGCAGGATAAAAAAAACCCCAAAAATCAACATTCAGGGCCAAACGAAAGAAATGTTCCTCGAGCCAATTCCCTTTGACCAACAAAAATCTATCATGACACACAGCTTCATTCATAAAGTGCTTTTCTTTTTCAATAACTTAGAATGTTAGTTTTTACTTGGATAATAATCAGTTAAATCGTCATACAAAGGCATTCACAACACTGAAGTCTGGCCCTCAACATGATAGAACAAAAAGTACTTACTTCAAATACTGGTTTCCATTGTATCCTCCAGAAACATAAAGTATCCCATTGACTTCTGCTGCAGCCAGAGCAAATCTCTTCAAAAACAAAATGGTATTAGTTAATAAATTAGGAAAATTTAAGATCAAGAAAGGTCTATAAGATCAACACAGAGTTTGACATCTTTCCCACAATGTCTAAGCAGCCTCTTCAGTGTTGGTAGGCTACCAACTAATTGGCGACTCATGGCATTAGATATATCAGCTTATACAAGCATCCAATAATACGATATATATATATACAAGTTATCATAAGAATATACCTTATGCAATAGTGATTGGGTAGGAATCCATTTTCCAATGTTTGGATCAAACATCTCTGCATCTGAGAAGCATTCAACTCCATTTCCACCTCCAGCGACAAACATTCTATCTTCTAAAGCAAGTAAACCAAAGCTTCCATTCTTTTGATTTAAAGGGGGATGACTAGTCCACTGATTACTTCGTGGATTGTATGATTCAATTAGGGGAAACAAAGACAAAAGCACAATTACCTTTTTAAGTTAGAAATGATTGCAAAAATAAACGACTAAATAGAACAATCCTACCTGTGTCACACCACAAATTACAATCTACACCACCCAAAATATACAATTCATCACTGAATTTTGCTCATGAAGAATATGAACGTAGAAAGCTCGTTGAAGTCCATGTTCTCATCATGTCCTGAGAAGAAACGTAGATGTCCAAAGCAGACATCTGAACAACCATCAAATCCTCCCACCAGACAGATGGATGCATCGCAAGCTGGATGGGGTTGACCATCCATTGATTGAAACTTATCTTCTTCAGAATCATCCACCTCAACACTCCTTGATACAGACCCCATCTCCAACATACTGAACTTCTTTGTCAATTGCTGAATTTCTAAACTCGATTCAACCTAAAAGGCCAAGTTGTTCAACCATCAAAATTGCTATCTCCATTGAACACACCACTAAACTCAGTATACATTTAGTTTTCCCAACTCCAGTTATAGTATATGCAAATATCAGGTTAAAAAACTATAACAGGGTTTTCCAAAGAAAATGATAAAAGCCTAAATCTGGAAAAAGAAAAAGTTCCAAGCCTGCATTTCAAAATTTTGCTAATATAGTCCACTAAGAAGATGCCACTTGCAAAGAATAGTCCTACTTTAAAAAGCGCACAAATATTGGAAAAAATATACACCATGGCATAACACCAAAAATGGGAAAGGCATCAATGGAAAACGTTGAGTAATCTGGAGATAAAAGCTAGAGATTATATACAGCACAATTGTGAAAAAAGGGGATAAAAGATGCTGAACATGTTCTACAACCAACGGTGTTGAATGCAGATCAGAAACCAATAATTGTTTTAGCCAAGATTTGAAAACTGTTGATATAATCATTTGAAGCAAGATTTCAAGGATAATAAAAGTTTCAGGAAATTAATCAGAAGCGTCATAAAGGGGGCTTACTTCATGGGGTATATATATTAATAAGATGGGATTTTACATTAAGCGCACTTAACATGTGATAAAAGCTTTCAAGTATGATCACTCATTTTCTTTAAATCTTCAAGCTAACTTGAAGTAGAAAGTAAAAAGTAGCAGGATTCGTTGGGCACTTCACCTCTAGCTTACCTACCAATAACAATGTTTGGCATTCTAGTTGCAGCAAGGACAAGCATGATGTTTAACAAGGGAGGATAATGATTCAAGAACATTTATAATATAATATAATATGTATATCAACCACCACATAACTATCATGTACAATTTTATGAAACTGTAGGAGGAAACACAATGTTTAAAATCAAAAGAAACAACTATTAAGAAATCAGATGTCATACCAGCTCTTTCTCTAAAGAATTGACCTTTTGAGCTTGCTTGAACTGAGACAACCTCAACTCCTGCACTCCAACTAACAACTATAAGAACATAGCACATCATAATAAGGGTCAACATAACTGCACAAAAATGAACAGTTAAAGGTTCAAAGTTGGGACTCAAGTAGCTATTGTCGAATGAATGCTAGAAGAGTTCATTTCGGAGGTCAATGCTAATTCTGGATAAGAGAGATTAATTGACTGACCTTCAGTGTCTTCTGATTGACTATATGTTGGTACAACCTCTGTTGGCACACATGGAGACAAAGGCCAATCATATCTGATTTGAACAATGTATCTTCCCTAGGCTAGGTAACTCTAATGGATTTTCATTTCTAGGAACTTCCAAAAGAAGGTTCGATGTACTTGGCTCTGTCATCACAGAAGAACAAAAGGCTGCACAGTTTGGTTTTGAGCTAGCAACTTCTCCATATTCTTGAACATCCTCTGGGTCTAACACAGCTTCTTCAACCTCGTTACTTTCATCCCAACAATCTGGAACACATTGAGCATCAAATTCTCCATTAAACAGATC